GAGTTGTTGATCAGAACGCAGAAATACATGAACGCTGAAGATGCTATGAATGCACGGAAGGGAAAGGAAGAAGAGGACAAGAAGAGGTCAGCCCCTCTCACCAGGGATGAGAAGGATACCAGTTATAAAAGATCATTCTTCAGCCAAAGCGATAGGACATATAGTGAGGAGGACTCAGATAAGTATACCGATTAACAATTGTCCCACAGCTAGAATTGCCTTATCAAGTCATTCAAAATAAAGACTGGGGGCATCTCAGTTCTTCATTTCACATGTTATTTTATTTTATTTTCCAATAAAATCACCATCACCAATGAGGTGGATGACCCTCAATTTCTACGCAATAAAATATTATATTTTCAGTTCCCTACTACCTATATGGTAATATTAAGCCCATAATAATCTATTTATCTCCTTAAAGGGCCAACTACACATTCTTCCCTTATTAAAGGGACAAGAAGCCGACTACTCCTTATATACAGAAGGGTGAGATAATTAAAGCTTCCTTCATTTACTAGAGGAACGAGACGACTACTTCCCGTATTACAATGGATAGTAAATAAAGTCATGTATTAAAAGGATCCGGGCTGAATGAATCCCGTAATCCATATCCCCGTACTATAAGGGATAATAAATGAGTGTCCTGTATTATCAGGACCCGGGCTGAATGAATCCCGTAATCAATATCCCCGTAGTACAAGGGATAGTAAATAAAGTCCTGTATTAAAAGGATCCGGACTGAATGAATCACGTAACCCATATCCCCGTACTATAAGAGATAGTAAATGAGTGTCCTGTATTACCAGGACTCGGGCTGAATGAATCTCATAATCTTTATCTCCGTACTATAAGGGATAATAAATAAAAAATCCCTTATTAAAGGGACGAGTAAAACTCATAAAGTTTAATTCCCTTATTAAAGGAGTGACAACCTAGGTGAAGCTCGTACAATTCAGGAGAAGATTGCTCAGGGATATTAAAAATAGTACCCAAGGGTACTAAAAATAATACCCAGTAGCAGAGTACCCAATGGTACCAAAAATAGTACCCAGGGGCAGAATACCCAAGTGATCATTACCCAAGGGAAGGGTACCCGTGGCATTGTTCCCGGGAATAGTGCCGGGGGCAAAAAAAAAAAAAAATTTCTGTATTGTTCATGTGAATAGTACCCGCAGGAATAGTACCCACGGGTACTATTCTAGGGCAAGAGAGAGAGAAAAAAAAAAAACAAAAAAAGGAGTGTTTCTTGTACTGTTCCAGGGGGCAAAAAAAAATGTTTCCTTTACTGTTCATGTGAACAGTACCCGCGGGAATAGTACCCGGGGGTACTGTTCCAGGGTTTAAAAAAATAATAATAATTAAATTATTATTATTATTACATTCCCAAAGCTAGACGAGCAAGCTTGGGAATAGGAGGCAACTGATAAGGAAAAATAAATATAACATAGTTTGACCAACCGCCAGACCTCTTCGGTGATCAATGATAATATTTTATTATTAGATGTAACGATTTCCATGGATAAAAATGATGACAAATCTTATCAATGATAAGATCTCCATGGGATAAGTTTCATGGGATAAGGATGATGAATTTCCCTTATCAAGAATAAGGGAAACAACGATAAATAGGACGACGACTCGGGAATAAGATACGACGAAAAAACTATTATTAAATTTCTGCCTTCCTTTTTAAACCTCTGGTGACTAACTTGATCATCAGAGAGCTCTTGGTAGGCACCAGACCCCTCTTTCCCTTGCAGATAAACGGTGTCGTATCGGACCGTGCGGATTTCACCCTCAACAATATATATATATATATATATATATATATATATATATATATATATATATATTTAATTTGGATAATTTTCAATCATAATTTTGGATTCAATATTTTGGGTAAAGTCAATAAAATCTAATTATAACCCTACCCCTTTCTTCTTCCAATTTGATGTGAGATTGATAAAAAAATATTCTTCTCAGATCTTCTTTAGAAATTATTTAGTAAGACCTCTACTATAGAATAAGTATGTTTTACAGTTTTTTATTTACTTTTATTTTCATAAGACAAGTTTGGGTTATTTACCGAAAAAAAAAAAAAAAAAAAAAAAAAAAAAAAAGGGAACTGTGGGATGCCATGGACGGATTCTCGTTGAGTTTGTATTTTTATGCGTTCGGTTGACTTAGGATCTAACTTACGCGGAAAGGATAAGGTACAAACCATACAACTTGTGCCTAGAAACATTTTACTTTACAATCGACGAGCTCGGAAAGGATGAATTAAAATAAAATCATCAACTGAAATTTATATTTTCGGGAAGTCACCAAAAAGAAACTTTTGATTATAAGAGTTACTAAAAAATCCATGTATTAAGATTTTCCTAACCATGTAGAGGGGCGGAGGTAGGGGACGCCAGCAGGGGCCATGGCTCCCTCAAAATTTTTATCAACTTTTATTAGTATAACCTAAAATAAAAAATAGTATAGATAAATGCATACTTGGCCTCCAGAATACCCAATTGGTCAAGGCAAGAAAATAACCGCTTCTTTGCTAACATCCGGAAATACTATTAGGAAGAGCCCATTTTATTTCGGTATTGCCCGAATCAAATTGTGAGAAGATGCATTCTGGAGAGTGAGGTTCCAAGTGTCATCGTGTTTTGCCATACCTTTGCACGTGGTGGACATTTTAGTGCAAAGAAGACCACCTTGAAAGTTCTTAAAAGTGGGCTATTTTGGCCCACCATTCATAGAGATACCTACAATTTTTGTAAGGAGTGTGAGCGATGTCAAAAGATGGGATCGATGTCAAGGAGAAACATGATGCCCTTGACAAATATTCTTATTGTGGAAATTTTTGATATATAGGGCATTGATTTCATGGGTCCTTTTCCTATATCCTATAGCTTTCAATACATTTTACTTGCCATTGATTATGTTTATAAGCGGGTGGAGGCTTGTGCTACCAAAACAAATGACCACTCCATGGTTGTTCAATTCATTAAATCAAATATTTTCACTCTTTTTGGTATGCGAAAAGCAATGAGGAAAGCATTTTTGCAATCAGTTCTTAAAGCAATTATTTCTAAAGTACTCCGTTACTAATAAAGTCGCCACCCCTTATCATCCTCATACGAGTGGGCAAGTGGAAGTTTCACTTAATTATAAATAGTTTCTAACTTTCTTATACCTTTTTTTTTCCTTAAACCTTTTAATATTATATTAAACTAAGCCCAATTGCAATAATAGATAATATATTCACATTACTTTAGGTTAAAAGTTTTTTAAAATTTTGGTTTAACTGTCATACTGTCTGTTTTTTGTGTTTGTTACGGAAGTTTGATAAAATAAAATAAAAAAGCTTCATTAAATAACTAATTGATTGATTAAATTCACATTAATTGGTTATACAATGGTCAAACTACCAATCGATAGTATATGAATTTTATTGTCTCGAAGATAATTATTTGGTCTTTTGTCGTAGTAGTTTTTTTTTTTTTTAATTGTGGGTGTCCGGGCCAGCTTGGGTGCACCTCGACTAATCTCACGAGGTCCTAAAATTAACGACCAGGTAAGCCTTCAGTGGCCCTGCAAAGACTCGAACTAGTGATCTTTTGTAATAGTTATTTGGTCATGTTGGTTAATTTTTGTACATATTTATGTCATTTTTTACTAGATATAGGCTTTTTTTTTAACACAAATTAGCTAACAGTTGGTTTGATAAATGTTTGTATAACTATAATCGATAATATATATATATATTTGACTTAAAATAGTCTTATATTAATTGTAAGTTCGGCCCTAACAATAGAATCCTGGCTCCATGCATGCAACTGCAAAATCTAATTTCTTAATTTTAAGTACTTATATTAGAATTTTTAAATTAATAAGGTCCAGTTTGGTACAATGGAAATGGAGGAAAAGAAAAGAAAGGAAATGGAAGAAAACAAAAAGTTGTGTTAGGTATAAAATGTTTGATGGAAAAGGAGGGAATTGAGGGGTTTGTAAAGAAAGACTAAAGTATAAACATAACTTTTGTTATCCTCTTAAAAAGGGGAGAAAATGAAAGAAAATAAAAGGAAAGTTAATATTTTTAATAAAAAAAATTTCATATCATATTTGCCCTTATATTTATAAGAGAAAAATTCTATAAAAAATGGTGTGATTGTAAATTCATTATATTAGTTTTCTTCTTTTTCTTTTCCAAACATGATTACTATCATTTTATTTCTTTTCTTTTATTAATCAACCAAACCGAACAAGTAATTAATACTATCATCTCATTTCCTTTCTTTTCTTTTCTCTCCTAACTAATATTATCTTTTCTTTTCTTTTCCACTACACCAAATATACCCTAAGTTCCCCATTATGTTCCGGCAAGCGTCGGAGTCCGACTTCTTGCCACAGTCCAATGAGTCAATGACTTTGCTTAAATGGTGAAAAGTCAATACAAGCATCCTCATAAATTCATAATAAGCCCGCTCTTTAAAAAAATAATAAATAATAAATAAAAATGATTTTAAAAATAATAAAAATTATGAATCAAAATAAACTTGACAGTTAGTCGAAAATCCATGTGTTGGCATTATCCCATGTCCACATCATCATTGACTCACGACTAAAAAATTCTCTTTCTAAAATTGAAAGTGTTCCTATATGATTTTTTTTCAGGTTCCAAAAGTAGCGGTTTTGGTCTACGTCCCATGCAAGCCTCGTACATCAACCAGTCTAATGCATGCAATTAACCCTAATTTAGCATGTCAAAACCTCCATACCTTAAATAGAGAATAGAGAAAGAAGACCCATCATCTCCGTGTGAAATAGAGACCTTCACTCTCATCCACAGAATCTTTAGAACCCACCCTCAAATCATACCATATTTAAGTCACAACTCATCTCCAGTCTTCCTCGTGATAAAAAGAAAAAAACAAAATTAATATATATAGCCCACTAGAACTCATCTTCAGGGTTCGATCAACCTCACAATCTCAAACTCGAAGATGAGTTCTTCATCCCCCATGACACCGCTCGTCCTCTTCTCCTGCCTCCTCCTCTCCTCCATCGCCACCGCCTTCAACATCAACAACATTCTCGGAAAGGACCCTGAGCTCAGCCAATTCAGCCAGATGCTCAACGAGACTGGCCTCGCCGATGAGGTCAACAAGAGAGCCACCATCACTGTCCTTGCCGTCAACAACGGCGCCATGTCCTCCATCTCCGGCAAGTCCCGCGACCTCATCAAGCGCATCCTCATGACCCATGTCGTCCTCGACTACTATGATATTCCCAAGCTCCAAAAGATGAAGGATAAGACCGACATCTTAACCACATTATACCAATCCAGCGGAGTCGCCATTAACCGTCAAGGGTTCTTGAATGTCACCAACACCCAAAACGGAATCATGTTCGGGTCCGCCGTCAAAGACGCTCCTCTCGAATCCAAGCTGGTCAAGTTGGTGGCGTCTCAGCCATTCAACATTTCCGTGTTGGAAATCTCTAGTCCTATACTTGCACCAGGCATTGATGGAAAAGACTCCTCGTCTCCACAGATGGCACCAGGTCCCGCACCAGCACTACCACCGTTGTCACCAACGAAGTCCAAGGCACCAAAGAAGGCCCCGGCACCCAAGAAGGGAAAGTCAGGTGGATCATCAGAGGAATCAGAGGCCCCTGAGGCCGACTCACCAACAAAATCTGATGATACTCCTCCTGCCGCGGCACCAGACAAGTCAGACAGCGACAGTGCTGCTCCCAAGTCAGACAGCGACAGTGCTACACCATCAGGAGACGCCCCAGCTCCAGCTTCATCTGCCTCACGCGCCGTCCTGAGTGTTGGTGGTGTAATGGGATTTGTGTCAGCCTTGCTGGTTGCCTTTTAAGGATGTGAAGAGGGACCATAAACGAATAAATATGAAATATGAACGGCTTAATAGATACAAGGAATGAGGGAGGGATGTGTAAGTAGAAGAAAACTGTTCTCATTCTATACATATATATCTATTGACTAAAAAGAACCCCTAGATAGTTTTGTCAATGCCAAAAAATGAAATCGCCAATGCTTAGATTTCTTGCATTGAATATAATTGCCGATAAGATTTGTGTCAATTCCACAGCAAGAAGCAAGATAAAATATTATAATTTGGTGGAGTATGAATATCAAATTGCATCTACATGTGCAAATTGTGCTGCAAAATCCCAAAAAGGAAATTTAAAATGTTTAGCAGCAGCAGACACACCACCCTGAAGTTGAACCTCAAGTCAAATGAACAGATTATAAAAAAATAAATGTTGCAGACTCAATCTAAATGAAAAAAAACAACATCAAGGAATGACAAAACAATTATAGAGAATAAAAGCATCTAGAAGAAATTTTTAATACAAGTCATCAAAAGACTGCAAGGTTACAACTATTGAAGCAATGTTACTCTGGTTCTGTAACTTCTGTTCAACCAAAAACTGTATTGTTGTAAAAGGCAATACTGCAATATCCAGAATCTACTTCAAATCATGGAATCGTCATTTGGTCTTGACAATAATATCTAAAGATGACTCTGTTCATGTCAAGTGGCTTCACCACATTACTACAATATCAAAAAAATCCAAGTGAAGCATCAGATCATTATTTGATCTTGTCGACAATATCTGAGATGACTTTGTCCATGTCTAGTGCTTTCATCGGTCCGAATGGTCGCTTCATGTCCTGGAAGTTAATAGTAAGTAAAACATTATAGTCAACTCAGAAACAGAGTCTGGCATTCCATCAGAATGCTAAAAAGAGGCATTTATATAGAAAAGGCAATGGGCAAATAAAATCTCAGAAACACATTAAATACGTGTTTTTCTACTCACCAACCTCTAAACAGGAAAATATGTTTTTCTACTCACATGTCTCATTTATGGATGATAGTTTATTATTCTATTTATTTAACATTTTAAGAGAGGAGGGGGATATTTAGCATGTGATGACGATACAATAGACTGAGAACGTCAATCATCTGGAAGTACTTATCAATGCATCTAAATGTTTCTCGTATTAAAAAGACATTTGATTTCATAGAGATCAAATCTTAACATCTATCAAAAACCACTAATGAGTCCAAAATCAACAGTTTGAAATATAAAAATTAAGTCCAAATTCGACATTTCAATAGCAATTTATGCAAATAGCTCAAATCAACTACATTAAACCAAAAAATGTTACTTTGAGGCTAAAAACCAAAATTGCCAAAATACCTTGCTAACAAGAACCAATAAAACAATTTTAGATCAAATTTAAGGAACAATACTTGGCCATTGCTTGGTGAAATGATAAAAGCACATGTTGTCAAGTGTGAGAACACAAGTTCGAATCCTGAGAGCAGTCATGTAATGCAAATAATGCTAATAGCCTAATACCAAGGTTAATGATGGTATCCAATCAATCCCTTATAGCATCCTCCATTAGCGGAAACTGCATGGGTAATGGCGTTTCCGTAGCAGTAATACTTTATTAAATTTACAAATTTAAAAATAAATAAATAAACAGCCCTAATCTGGTTTCTTTAACTCAATTTTCCTCATTCCTTGGTTACAATCTGCATCAGTTCCACTTTTACTTGTGACAACAACCTATAAATTGATATTAGAGCAGTTGACACAGACATGTCTTCTCCCAATTATACGTCACCCTAACAAAGCATCTGAGCTACTAAAGAGATTCTACAATAACTATGCTAATCTTCTGACACGTATTGTCATGTGAGTTTAAGGGAGAAATTTATTCTAGATTGTGAAGGGAACTTGTTCGACCAAACTCATCGGCTTTCATTAAGGACATGTGTGATCAGAATTTTTTTTAGCATAATATGAAGTGACCTAAGTCGTCATAGCACAATGGTTAAGAGATGGCATGGAATCTAAACAGGAAGGGAACAATAATGGGTTCAGTTCTTTCCATTAGGGGAAAATGGAAAACATGGCATGAAGTTGGATGAACATGAACATTAACAATGCCATCCTTCGTAAATTCTGAAAACAGATATAACACATGCACCAAAAAAGAACCATTGAGATGACAGTCAACATTAACAATCCCATCCTTGGTAAATTCTGAAAACAGACATAACACATATAGCAAAAAAGAACCATTGCGATGACAGTCCTATAGGCTATATTGTAGTTTTCTGAAAGCATCTACATTCTCCCTATCTGCAAATTACTTGCTAGAAATACCTAACCTTTTGTTTTACCTCCATTATGCCATAAGTATTACGAGGATTTCATTAATTTGTATGAACTTTAAATTCAAATGGCAACAATTTTTATAAACTACAATTGTTCCTATAACTTCAAGCCGGACTTCTTGACACTAGAAATCCATTAGTTTTTGGTGCTTATCTTCAATAATTGCATTTCTTAACCAATATATGAAAATATCTTAAGCAAAATATATCAGTTATTAAGACACTGGGCATATTGCGCCAGCATCTTCATCTTCATTTTATAGTTCATTAATTAATATGTTATAACTTTGAGCATGCTTATCGTTACAACTGCTTTAGCATCACATGTATCCTGGAAACTGGAGTACCTTATACACATGGAATTAAGAAAAGCAAAAAAAAAAAAAATGTTTGTTATGGAAAGAAGAATAATTTAACCACTAGTGAAGTACACAAGTAGATAAAAACCAAACCATAGAACTTTTGAGAAGAAAAAAAGGGAAAAATATTATGAGTTTACGACATAAAAAATTATGAATATGCTCAATAATGCTTCTCATGCTATAATAACAAATATAGATCAGATGTTCAGGTAAAGCTTTACCAGAAGACTGATGAACGTATCACCACCTTCCTCCCGTATTTCAAAGCATCCTCTTCTTGGCTGAAAAAGAATGAAAAAAAAATAACACAAAAAGTAATAGCTTAAGACATCAACTAAGGACAAATCGAAGGAAGGAGAAATACAGACAAACCGAACATAAAAACATATATGGAGGAAAAAGTGATTCACACTCTTAGCAGCAAGATATGATGAAGAAAGGAGAGCTGCATACATGTGAAGTACCTAGCAGAAGGCTATTATATTTAGCAGAAAATAGTTATGAATTTGTCTGCAGTATCTCCGCCTATGTCACGCAAATGCACCCAACCCCAAAAAAAGGAGTAGGCTTAAGGCATGTGGCTGCTGGAAGCCATCATAAACCCTCTATTAAACCTCTAGGAACTTTGATTCTCAGATATTCAAGTAAATACTAGCTCGTTCACCTTAAGCAACATGCCTCATCAACTCCCGAGTGCTTCCAAAAATAAGCGAGGGAGGCCAGATCATTGTGGGGTATAGTGAAAATTAGACAAGTTTTTCTGCTCTATTTTGGACAAGCACGCAAGTAAAGAAAACACCCATTATGTGCATGGATAACCATGCCAAGAACTTTCCTTCTTTGAAACCAAAACTGAATAGGACCCATGTTACGTGCATGGACTCAAGTTCCTTTGTCGAGTGCTGTGGGTACGTATCGAGGCAATAAATGTATCAAATTCTTAAATAGAAGAACACAAGGATGTTGCAAAATTCTCATAAATTTTCATTTTTTCCCCATTTTCTAGTGTGAAACAACGTATTTACATAACACAGTGTTCCGTATGGTTTTCATTCATTTTGGAGCAATAATCTAATAAAAATGAATTATTGGGAATCCTTTTCAGGTGACGTCCAACCAAATGTATCGAACACATATCACATATTCAACCCAATATTCCATGGATATCAAAATAAAATAAGAATTTGATGAAACATTACTCATGATGGATCAAATCTCAATTAAGTTCGGTCCATTTCATGCCTACTCATATACAAACCCAACCACATATCCAAGATGGAGTTCAACAACTTAAACAAGAACTTTTTATCATTTCAATGATGGTGAATAGCACAAAAAGACAAGTCCAAACTCACAAGAAGGAAGAACTCAGGGAGCTAAAATATCATTTTGGTTGAGGTAAAAAATATAGTTTCTAAGCCAATGACTCAGAAGTAGTACTAACTAAGAAGGGAGGGACATAGTAAAGAATCAGTTGCAACAAATCATCAGATTTTGTAAAAGCTTCGCAGAAAACATTATATTCAAAAACAGCATATTACCATACCAATTGCTAATCATTCATAGTGGCATGCACTCCTTTCTTTAAAAGCAATGACATAAGATTAAATTGTATGATTTAAGTTCAACCAACTCTATATTTCTTACCGAAAAAAGGAATGTTAAAATCTGCGGGCAACAAAAGTTGATGAGGCATTTATAATTATGAATTTGATGTCTATGCCATAAGACTTGTGACTTGGTACAGCTTCAATTCTCATTTTCTGTAAACATGCTGGCACTAGTTAGATCTAAGCCACACAAGGGTTTGTATCTTGGAATTCCAACACAGAGTAGATCCTATAAATTTTAAATGGGAATCTCAATACATAGAGCTTGCCCACATAACTTTAATTAGTTTATACACTTTTATCTCTCTCCATTAATGAACTGTGCAGTCAATCATTTTAATTCCAAGATTCATATTAATTTCAAAAAACAGAACTTGCAAAGAAAATTGCATTTGACTAAGCATACCTTTTCTGGGTTGACAAGCACAGTAATACCAGAAAGATCCTTTTTCAGGGCATCCTTGACCTGATCAGCCCTTTTCCTGAATGAACTGCATTGCTTGCTAGAGAAGGGAAAAAAAATTATAAAGATGCCATGTAATGGAAAAAAGGTTCTGCAGCAATCAAAAAGAAAATGAAAGGACGAACCGCATTTAGTAGCAAGATAAAAGATAAGAGCTTTGCTAAAGATTCTCTATTTTCACTACAGCAGAAAGATGCAAGAATAACCAAAATATTTAATCTACGAAATTTAAAACGAATCACAAAATACTCAATTTGTAAAGCTCCAAAATCTTAGTCATTTACTACTTATGTGAGATGTAGCTTTTAATATTCTCACAAAATTTAAAACGAATCACAAAATACTCAATTTGTAAAGCTCCAAAATCTTAGTCATTTACTACTTATGTGAGATGTAGCTTTTAATATTCTCACGAATAAGAGCTCCATGGTTTGAAATATATCCAAGGCTCACAAAACCAACCTCTTAACCTTAATGCAAGTACACTCATCTTCAAGGCCTTCTTTCCATTAGAACTAAGAAAGACAATGCTATATAAAATAGCTGAAATATTGCTGTTATATATTTTATCTTGAAATCTTGTCCCTTAAAAATAATAGGGCAAATTACACTGACCTCCCCTCTAGTTAGTCAAAATTACACAGTTTCCCTGATTTTAAAAATATCATTTACATCCCATTTCAAAGATTCAACTCCTTTAACGAACCATGCAAATTTACCAGAAAGAACTTACCAGTTTAGTTTCTTTCTTTTTTTTAATCTCCCTCACCACCTTCATATGGGAACTGTCCTCCACCACACAGAACATATCAAATTCCTTTTATAATACCAATACATACATCCACGTCTATCCACATATATGCACATGCATATATAATGGAAAATTGTTATGCAAATGAAACCGAAAATTTTTCATGACGTTACAGTTAACTTTCTTTAAGGGTTTCTAAGATGTGGGGCAACAAATTCAATCTTTGGAGAAAATTTATTGAAATTGTGATTTTTTTTCTTCAATTGGTGAGATAATTGAAGGAAAGATCTTTTTTCGGGTGTGATTGGTTCAATTTCAGATCCCAGGTCCCGATCCTTCCACACTAGCCATGTCCAAAAATCTGACTCGTCTCCGCCTTGCATAAAATATTTTCTCTGGCAACATTCCTTCCAAATTTTGCCACTCACAGAGCTTAACTTTCTTGATTTATCATTCAACAATTTCACACGAGAGCTAGCACCTGAGTTATCAAACTGTAAAAAACTTAGTCACCTCCAATTCAGCAAGAACCAGTTTTAGGGCACGATTCCTATTTGGTTAGGGAGCTTACAGGAACTTGGCGAGCTTGATCTTTCATCCAATAACTTCCGTGGGACAATCCCTGAAGAAATTGAAAGTGTTCAAGATTGCTTAAGCTCTCTCTTCACTACAGCAAACTATCAGGAGATTCAGGGAGAAAGGTGGTTAATGAAGAGACGCGGTTGATTTCATACTAGAGAGGGAGAGAATGGTCTTGTGTGGGAGCTTAGATTGGGATGGATAAGAGTTTATAGAGAGGGAAAAGGGGGATTGTGTTCCAAATGTATTAACTAAGAGGGATGTCAATGATATTTTTGATTTGTGAGATCAGAAAATAGAAAAAAAAAATATCACATTAAATCAGCGGGGCGGGCCGGGGGGGGGGGGGGGGGGGGGGGGGGGGGTTGTTTTGGGGGGGATGGAAAGAAGCATTTAATTTCTTTACATGGAAATAAGAAGCATCCAAAGAAATCCATTGAACCAAAACATACACAATTGATATAGCTCCAAGATCCAAGCCATTAACTACTCTTTTTCTTGTAAAAAGCGTAGCTTTTAATCACTTAAAACACGAGCTCCATGCATTGAAATATACCCTATAACCACTGAAAGGAACTATATTCGTGTTCAACGCCTCGTCTGCATTAGCCCTTGCACAGAAAGCTAGAAGTGCATATAGATGAAATATTGCTCTTAGATACTTGAACTACAAACCATAGCCCTACACTTGCTTGAATCTTACAACAAATGTATTAAAAGAACATAGAATGTCTATGACCTATGACTTCAGACCACACAAATATAGAACATCTATGTCTAGGGGTTGTCAACATGTAAGACAAAAGATCCTGCTGTGACAGTTAAGCAATGACAGGACTTTATTGGCAACATTCTAGCTCCATCTTCTAAGAATCACCATTTTATCATTGTGATACAAATTATTTAACAAAGTAGATGGAAACTGTCCCCATGAAATAAGTCTTCTGGGCAGATGTCGTTAGGTTCATCAAGGAACATATCTTTCAAATTTTCAATCTGCCCAATCCATAACAACCAATCAGGGAACTGTACTCATAGGATGTCAAATGCAAGCCCTCAAGAAGTGCAGAATTCAGCTTCTAAATTCAACTCATATTATCCATGAAGCAAGGAAAGGTCAAATCTTCAAAAAAAGTCATTAAGTCTTGTCGAGAAAATGGTTTAAGGGTAACCCAAGAGTTTGGAACAAACTATTGTCAGAACCACTATGGGCATACCAAACTTAAAAGAGAACAAGCACAGTAGCATCAGTTTTTGCTCTTAACTTCCAAGCATTATGAAGATTATGGTCAAGTCTCTACGGTCTGCTTTTCAGAATAGCTTAAACCCTATTGAACATGCCAAGCCATGCTTACGAAGCATGGAGATTTGCACGAAGTTCAGCTCGGGATAACAGATTGTTTAAAAGTCTAGAAGCAGAGAGCTCTGCTAGGGGCCATAACATGTTAATACCAGGATATTGAGTGAGGGAGACCGAGTTCTGAAAGTTGTTTTGCCAACCAGTGAAAAGGGTCCCAAAAATGCAGATAGTCTCCAGCTTGGAAGGACTGCTTACCATCCATCAAGTGTTAAAAGCTGGTGTTTGTGAGTTGAAAGGACTTAGAATAAGGAGTCTGTGTTAGGACTATAAACAGCCAATATCTCAAAAAATACAAGATCACTGAGAGAAACATACACAAGCACATTACGAGGGTCAATAGTTCAATCTCAACTGAAAAGAGTGTTCAAAACCCGACACATGGATAAAATGTTTGGGGGGAAAGAAAGTAAAGCAGAAACCCTTATTAGTGTTTATGCAATAGACATTCTCAACAGAAAAATTGACCAACAAAGCCCTGAAAGTTAAAGATTTTCTATGACCATTGCCCTAAACTTCAAGATTCAGAAAAAATTGGTATCCATTACAAAATCAATCACTCTCTCTCTCTCCCTCCATACCCACACTCACACAACTCCAAAACAACCATTTCATTATTCAAACAAATCTTATAAACCAAGAAAAATAAACAAAATACAAGTTTAACCCACAATAAACTCCATTGGGGGAAAAATGAAGATAAAACAAATCTACTATGCGTTTCTTGACGATAAAAAAAAAATAAAAAATAAAAAAAAATAAAAAAATCAAGAAACAATTTAAAGACTGAAGAGTTTTACAAAACTCCTACAGAAAAGAAATGTACTCAAATAAAAAACATAACCCATTTTCTTGTGATTCTAGCAAGAAAATCATTGTAAATCTAGAGTTTACACACTACAAAAACGACGCCAACAAAAACAAGAAAAACAATTAGTAACAAACAAGACAATAGGTTGAAAAGAGAAATGAAATTACCAATGCTCGATGACGATGGTCTTCGAAGCGTCACTAGCCTCTTCCGCTTTCACGTCCTCAACCTCAACCTTTGTTTTTCCCTTGGAGCTCGCTTTCGCCTTCTTCTTCGTCTTCGGCAACTTGGCCGGTGCCTCAGACGCCGCCGACGTGCTTCCGTTGAGTCGGCGAGTCGCGCTCCGAGTCACCCGAGTCGACGTCTGAATCGGCTTCGCAGTATCTGCCTCTGTTCTCTTTCTCTTCGGCGCCATTGAAATCCTCTCTCCCTCTCTCTCTAAAATACTCTTCTCTGCTTTCTTAGTTTCTCGCTCTATCTCTCTCTCTCTCTCTCTCTAACAATAAATGGTAAAACTTCTTAGCTTTCTATTTAAGTCCGTTTATTTCTGAGTTCCGACAGATCAACGTCTCTTACGCTATCCCGCTCTTTCTAACGGGAGGGATTTAAAGAATCATGAGGCTAACTGTCTTGGGACATCTCGGCCGTCAGATGGTGATACCTGACAGAGGTCAAGTAAAAAGTAAGGTACGAATTCTGAAGCAATTTGATGGTATGTGGAATTTTGAATGCAGAGGCAAATCAGTGTAAGGAAATTTTGAATGGACGGAGCTTAGAGAGAGAGAGTTTGTGGTAAGAGTAATGCAAGAAACGAGCGGTCAGGATTTTTGCAGGGGGAAAAGTGGAGAACTGAATTGAGTTTTCATGTGAAGTATTTTTATCTGATTTATACAGTAATTTTATGTGTAGGCGGTCCGAATAGGGTAGTGAGAATTACAATAACCTCCCATAAAAAGATGAGTACACAGACCACCTTAAAAATTACTCCTATTAATTAGTCATTTTTTCTAGACAATTTCATTGAACAATGTTAGTGCGATTTTATCTTTGTATTTTTTATTATTATTATATTATTTTAGTTAAAAAGTAAATTTTGATCTAACTTTAATAACATAATTTGAAATTGAGGATGGTGTAAAAAATTTATTTTTACTACCAAATGGCATTAACCTTGGAGTATAACTTCTGTATTTCAAGGAGGAGGAGGGTTTGAGCATGATGTTAGCAAAAGCAAAATTAAATTAAATTTTAATGTGTTTATCATTGTACAAGAGAATAGGGATGTTTAGTGCGAGAGTATAAGTACTGATTCAAATAAATAAATTCTTTATTTTTAATGTGTTTATCATTGTGCAAGATAATAGGGCTGGGCTTGGGGCGGAGCACCGCTATTCCAAACTCGTCAGCGAATAAATTAAAGAAAAAAAAAAGTTTAATTTGGCTTGCATTGGAATTGGGACAGGTTCAACATGCTACTATAAGAAAAATAATTTAAACTTGAACAAATTTAAGTATAAGCATACACTTGATAATCATATTAACAAAAATATTGTTAAAAATTAAAATTATTATAAAAATTTGAAGAAAAAATAAAAACTATAGTTAAAAAATAATATTCATTTATATATTTATTATTAATTAGGGTGAGTTTAGGGATTGACGGGATTTGAATTCTTTTTCTAAATTTCTCCTAACCCTATGAGATCGGTAAGGACCGACTAAATTGTCATCCTACAAAAAAAAAAAAAAACTTATAATATATTATTAACTTTGTGAGTGATCAATGTAATTTTTAAATTATATAAAAAAAATTAAAGCAATTATATTATATACTTCAAAAGAAGTGAGTGTCAAGTAGTCTTATTTCTTGATGTAAAATATATGAAGGTGTTTTTTTTTTAACAAAATATGTTTTTATGCCAAAATTTAGTACACAACTTGATACCCATCACAGCGGATCAAGGTAATCCCATCTTGATGAAGTCATAGGCACATGGCCTCCACACAAAATAATCCATCTCAAATTTTATGGAAATAATGTCATTTATGCATTAAATAGAGGCAAGATGTGCAAGATAAGTAAATAACTTGTCTCATCAAATAGTTTGTATATAATAGGAGAGAGTCTTTGTGGTGAGGGTCTTCCATTCATTAAATGAAAACATTATTTCCAAGAGACTTCTTCCGTCAAATAGTTGGCAGGGATTCTTGTTGGAAAATGAGTGCCACGTGTCAATCTTTAAGTGGACTTATCTACTTTTTAAAGCTAATCGCTATTTGGCTAGTGCTTTTTTTTTTTTTTTTTTTTTTTTTTTTTTGCCAATATATTATAGCTAAACAAAAGCATGTTTGATAATATTTATTGTACTTTTAAATAGTACCGAAGCGCTTCCAAAATTGCGATCAAAATCAAAAACATCAAAATGATACTTTTGTTTGCTTCAGTACTGTAGCAAAATAATGCTAAAAAATATATATAAAAAAATAAAAAAATTCTAAAATAACATTTTTAACTAATCATTCAAATTTTCAAACACTTTTTACCAAACATGCTTTCATGTTTTTGCTTCTAAAAATCTTGTAAATTTACGTTACCAAATAAGCTTCTAAATAGTGTTAAGCACACTCTAAAAGTATAAACATTGTTTCTACTTCGACTCAAAGCAAAAGCACAAAGCAACTGTGGTTGCCAAACGGGCCCTTAACATGCCAACGCCTCCTATGAAATGGAATATCCTTCGCCATAGCAAGGACCCCATAATCAATAAGCCCAAAGGTTTCGTCTCCTTCATTTCATACATATAATTTTATTGTTCTCAACTTCAAATACTTGTACCTATGCTTTTGTTTGCACTCAAAATGGGCATTTTGATTGCTCGATCTCATGTTGAGACCCGCAAACAAATGTTGAGGCCAAGAGAGAAAGTTGGGCTCTAAACTAAGGCAAGCTCTTACATTAAGCTCCCAACGATATGCTCATTCTAACTATCATTTGCCCTAAGTTAAAATGTTTAAAGATCATCTTCCTTGCCTTGAGGAGTTTGTTGGCCGATGTGATACCCCCTGATTTCGGAACACGGATTGATCAAGTCCGCGCACAAAATCAAGGGATATCAACACAATTTAAGTATTTAACAAGCACAGAATACAAAGATGAATAATAAAGAATAAATAAACCGCTGAAGAAAACTAATAAATAAATATTACTTAATGATTCTCCAACAATTACAATTCGGAAATCCCATAACGCAAGGACCCCTTAAAACATTATCCAATAATCCAATACTATTTAAAAGTACACAAGATGAATAGGCGAATGACAGTCTCCCAGCTGCGGATCCTCAACCTCGAGACTGGAACCTCTAATAACCTGAAAAATAAATCGTGGGTTAAACCCTACGAGTAAGTTCACTCTACCAGGCCTCTGAAAACCAATAAGCAGATCATCTCTGATCAAAACCAAACCTAATAAAGTTTTAACTTTAATAAAGCACGATATACATGTCTATATATAATTATATATACTATACTAATCACATCCATTAATAGGTTTATTAAATTTCCATACCTATTAAATAATTATTAAAATAATATTCATACCTAGACCAATCTACCATTTCATTTTATAAAAACTCCTTTGACCTTAATCCCATCCTAGTCAATTGTTTAATCATTTAAACAACAAATTATAATAAAAGAAATACTCTATTTAATCCCAACCCGATAATGATTTTAATTGTTTAAATCACATATTCAAAATCCAAGTTTTGACAAATCATCCACGTCTTCCCCAATATTATTTTATTAATGTAAAATAATACACTAACCAGTAAGTACTAAACTATTTTCATTTAAGAATATCTAACCCTAATCCAATCCATACATACAACAACCATAGATGATATTTTAATCATCTAACACATAACAACGTAATTATGCTTTGGCAAATCAACCATGCCATTGTAAATATTTTTATTCATATATTGGCAATTCAACCATGCCTCCATAAGTATATTTATTTATACATTGGCAATTCAACCATACCTCCGTGTATGTATATTTATACATTGGCAATTCAACCATGCCTCCACAGGTATATTTATTCATACATTTAATTAGCAATCATCCATGCTTTCCATATATGTATTCTATTCATACACATATTTAGGTAATATATTTAATCATTTGACAATTCATCCATGCCCACACTTTAACCATGAATTAACTTTAAAATTAACAATACGCTAAATCATACATAGCCATCACATGCATATTATACGCATATCATTAATTTAACAACCAGCCTATTAAGATATGCCAAATAAGAATGATAATATTAATCATCTTAAATGATTTATATATATATATACCTACACATATGTTATTTAATGTATATATGTTTTTAACACCTTCTTTAATAATCCTTGATTATTTAAAATCAATATACATACATACATACATACATATATATATATATATATATATATATATATATATATATATATATATATTCATCCTTCCATACAACTCATAGACAAATTAAACTATATATACCCATATATAAATAATTATATATATATATATATATACACTTCCTTCCATAACAAATTATTAATTTATTATATTTACCCAAATTAGTGCAACTAAATATGTCAGAAATAGTTTCCTTTAAATACTCCATACCGGTTTAAATAGTTTTCCGACACCGTCTCACTAAAACGTAAATATCTCTTATTAGGATAAGAATCTGATAATGAAATTAGTACCATTGGAAAGAGGACGAAAAATCATTGAATTTGAGCTCAAGAATGACCCAATTTCGATTTAAGATGACTAAGTTATGACCGTTTTAATTTTATGTCACAAACAGACAGAATAATTGGCTAAGCTCAAACACTACTGTGAGCGCGCCCACACTTAATTAGCTCACTTGAGCTCACACAAACGCACCCACACCAGATTAGCTCACTTGAGCTCACATGTATGCACCCACACCAGATAAATCTTCTGTTGACCAAACTTAATCCATGGTCCAGATTCACATGCGCACCAAAGTTTTATGCGCCGCGATGCACCATATCAATTCACATAAGTTTAATTAATCAAATGGCCCTAATTGGCGTATACACCCTATTATCCTACACCGCGCCGCACTGGATCAATTCTTTATTGTGCCGCCGCTCCACATGCGCCAGTTACCTAGTATATATATATATATATATATATATATATATATATATATATATATATATATATAAAATTATTTTCCTAACAAATAATAGGAAAATAAATCCTAATAAATTCCTAAAAATATCAGAAAAATTCCAGAAAATTACAGAACAATTCTAGAAAATAAAGAAACCATAATTAACTCTCTTGGGTCACAAATCCACCTATAGATTGATTTTAAAATATACATAACACCTATATATATCAATTAAAATCCAATAATCTAAAAATCAAATATAATAGTTTATACTTTTTAATTATTCCGATCTAACCATAATTTTTAAACAAATAAATTTAATTAAAGCCTTGATACTCAAGGTGAAATCCTTATGAGTTCTAAGAGGAAAGTTAGAGAAAACTCGCCTGAAGGTTTCGAAACGAAACCGACGCTTTAAGCTTTAATTATCTCTTCCAATTCCGACGTCCTCCTTTTCAGATCCGACCTCCTCCTTGTCAGCCCTTCTTCTTCCTCTCTCTCTGTCTGTTTTATTTTTCTAACGTGTAAAACCTTTAACCCTAAAGCCT